CAAAAATGTTAATGGATCACACATTTTATGAAAAATTCAGCAAGTGGATATTATTGATGCTATTTGACAATGAAAATAAATTTTAATTGTTTTTTAAATTGTAATGAGCAAATTAAAAATGAAAAATTAAAGCACCTGTAATTAAATGATTCAACATTGTCACGTAAGTCACTTTAACTCACACACGATAGCACAGTGCTATCAGGAAGTAGAAAAACAATGTTCTCAGTTCACCCTCTCTTGTATTTCTCTTCACAGAACTTTTAAAATGTTTGCTGCTCTTCCCTTCCTATTATATATTCAGCAGCAAGCTAAGTCAAAGGATGGGGAAAGGCGTGGGGTGCTGGGATTGAACCCAGAGCCTTCACACTGAGCTACATCCTCAGCCCTTTTTCGGTTTCTTATTTTGAGACATAGTCTCCCTAAGTCACCAAGTTGCACAGGCTGGATTTAAATTTATGATTCTCCTGCCTCAGCCTACCAGAGTGCGGGGTTAAAGGTATGTGCGACCACTCGTGGCTAACCAAAGGCTTTTTAGGGGTGTAAAAGACATAATGGCCTATGACATAACCCCTATGTAAACATCAGTTAAAAAACAGAAGAATCTGATTCTTGCTTTGACACTCTTTAGAATCCACGCACACAGGTAATACATTTTTCATTCTTTGTATTTCACGACTTTCTTTATTACTCAAGGCCAAAAATGTCATAATCTTTAATTTCTCTATTTTGTATTATCTAAAAATCTGAAAATTAATTATTGCACATTTTTGCCACAGGAATCAAATAATACAATCGATAAGTGGAAAATGTCTAATGTTTTTTAAGTATTTCTAACCTCATTATAAAAGTAAACAGTAATAGCTCAATTTATACAGTGCTGGCTTTGACCCAAGCACTTGCTATGCCCCTCTGACACAAAGTACTACTATGCTCAGTTTCCAAATGAAGAAAACTAGTTTTGAAAAGAGGCCCTCGGTTTAATCCCCAGTACAGATAGATTAGATTAGATTAGATTAAATTAGATTAGATTAGATTAGATTGACAGACAGGACTCCTAAGACCTCTTTTAACCTCTTTCAACCATGTGAAGATTCAAGCAGAAGACAAGTCTTCAACCTAGAAGCGGACTTTCACCAGAACCTGACCATGCTGACACCCTGATCTTGGAATTCAACCTCCAGAATTCTTACTAGCTTCTGTTGTCTACAAGTCACTCATTCTATAGTACTTTGTAATAGTGGCCAGAACTGTGGAGGACAGAAATCAGTATCAAGAAGTAGAGGTGCTGTAAGAAATACCTAAAAAGTTTGTCTTAGTTTATTATTTCACACATCCATGTAAACTAATAACAGTAATCACACAATAATAAAATCTAATCATTGAAAACACTTTTAGTTGGGTTTTCTTACATTAACAGCCAAGGAATCATTTGAAAATATAAATGAGGAAGGACAACCTAGAATAACAGTCTATAAAACACACACACACAAAACCACGTACACCTTCAGTTCAAAAAACCAGTTTCATAATTATACATAGTAGCTCAAATAACAAAGACCTAGAGGCTGTACTAGTACAATCAAAGGCATGCACCACTATGACATGGCTGAGAGAGAGATGTACACAGTTACTTCAATGGATATGATTAGGGCCAGAGGTTGAAAGATTAAAAGAGACACTGAAAAACAGGAGAGTACAAAAGGAGGGTTACCGAGAGGGTGAACGATGTACAGATCATGCAATCTGAGGACAGGCTGAAAAAATGACAACTGCACAGCTCGGCAGACAGCAGACTAAAGGGAGCACGATGCCTATATTCGAGGTTTCTCCTAGAAAAGGAGACTGGTCTTAGTCTCAGCACTTCAAAAAGTGAAGCAACGGCTGGTTGGTACAGAAGGTAGATCTGGCTGTACGATAAGCAACTTTTCAACCAATAGAGCAATCTAAGTCACATTAGCTCCTGAAAATAGGGAAATTCATTTTCACTGAGATGAAGTAAAGACTGAGTCATCATCTGTCCGGGACATTCTAGAACGGTATTTCCCAGAGAGTATATACATACCACTGCTTGTACAAGAAATGACTTTAGCTAGTGCATACATTTATTTCATTCATTACATAGTTATCTTAATGTATATTAACAACAAATAAACATACCCGCTACTTATCAACTCTAGGATTTCATGAATATTGTTTTAGAACAAAGTAACAATTTACAGGGGCTGGGGATTTAGCTCAGTGGCAAAAGCGCCTGCCTGGCAAGCGCAAGGTCGTGAGTTCAGTTCCCAGTACCGGAGGGAAAAAAAAAAAAAATTTACAGTTAATTTAAAAATAATATGAACATAACTAGATATTATTTATGATCTAATAGTTACCATTTATAGAGAATTTATAGACAATTTACAGAGATAATAAAAGGCAGCAAAAAATTAAGAAAAATAACTTCTGCAAGGAAATATATTTTTAAAGTAAAGGAAACTAAAACAGTAAGTTATTTATAATTCATGGGTATAAGAAGATGGCAAAAGTCATAAAGGTATCCAAAATGAATTTTGGGCATGTTGCTCTGGGGAGATTCTTTCTTTTATTTGACATCCTGCAACTGAAGTTTGTCCTCTATCAAAGCTGTCTTAGTATGTAGTGATTTTCTGAAAACACAGTAATTTATAACTACATTTATTTAAATGGCCTTCACAACAGACTAAGTAAAATTTTCATTATTTTCAGTACTCAGATATATTGATTTTTAATAGCTATAAATATAAAATGGTATCTAGTACCCTCACAAAACTAAACTTTTATGAAAAAAGACTGTATTTTTACATCTAATAAAAATCTGTTGATGGCCTACTATGGAATAGGTCCTGTGGTAGATAAAAATTTGAAATTAAATTTACAGGTATTCACTTGAAGGATCTACTGTTACTCTGAGGAAATGTTTTTTGAAATTTAAGGTGAAACCCTGAATGTCTTCACTATCATGTTCACTGAAAATACTTATATATTTTAGGATGACTGAAGCCCATTTCCTATGTTATGCATACACAGACACACACAATCTAGATTCAGATTTTTCATTAGTATGCTCTTCCTCATATTCATTATTTGATGCTAGTGCTCAAGTAAATTCTGAAAATCCTCAGGAATCTGACTGAAGCCTAAGACAATCTTGTGATGTCTTTGTGTAAACTAGTCCTAGCTCAATCTTAAGGCACTGCATGGCAGGCGTATTCTACGGCATGAAGAAAGCGGCGGTTCTCTGCAAGAGATGATGCCATAGTGTACTACTGGAGGCACTTTTACTGCCAGATGTGAAGCCTGACCTTTTGTTTTCTTCACCAGTTCCTTAGGCCAAGAGGTACTTTATGTTTGAATAATCAAATAGTAACTGACATCTAACATATGCAAGAATCATTAAAATTTAAACTTGTCCCCTGAAAACAGTTCTGTGTCCATCCTCAAATGGATTTCAACCAAAATCTAAATAAAAAAAAAAATCTGCTCTAACAGATTCTCTCCATACCTCCTGAGCGTGTTCCTTATAGACTTGCAGTGGCCCTGCGGCTTTGGCAGTGTCCCAGAGCTGCAGTGAACCGTCCCCACTGCAGGTGACAACGACATGTTCGTTGTTCTCGCTCCAGGTTACATCAAACAGGCCATCATTCCAGTCAAAGCTAATCCAGAACCGTTTAAGAAAAAAACAAATGGCAATCACAATGTTACTATTATGTTTGTTTGTTTTTTTAGTTTACTGTATACATTAACATATATTGTCTTACATAGTCTTCACAAGCACAGCAGATAAGTAAAGCAGTACTTTACAGAAGCAGAAACAGAAAGGCCGGAAGAATGACCCAGGTGATACAGGTAGGAAACTGCAAAGCTGGATTAAAATTAGGTCTCCCAACTGCTAATACAGAACTATTAACATGAGGGCATTCTGCCATACTGGAAGCTTACCGTTTTTTTGTGACTCCTACAATAGGCCAGCAAGCACTTCAAAATACTAATTTAGACTAACTCCAATTTTTTCCATAAATCTTTCACCTGAGCTATGTAACACTTGTCCCATAAACCTTTCACCTGAGCTATGAATAGCTAGTTATTTTCTGGCAGAATTTACTTTCTTTTCTCAACCTTTAACTAACTTGATGGAACTATTAACGGGTACAACAGCCTGTCACCCAGAAAAGACAGGCATGGAAAGAAAGGAGAGGCGCTGGATAATCCACAAGATGGGTACTTCAGTCCTGCATGAGGAAAGCTAAACCACATTCGGTCAGCAAAGGCAGGCACTGTTACACAGTATACTTACTGGATCACCTTTTAAGCTTAAATCTTATAGTTTATAAACGGACACTAAAAAGCTTTAGAGGAAATGTGGCATAATCATAGCATAATGGCAAAAAGGTTTTCCACACTATGCAAATGCTGAAGTTCAACAAACTTTTCATTGCCCCAAAAGATTCAAAACTTCATTCAATTAAAGCTTTAATTGCAATAGAGAATATACATAAGTTTAATAATTAAAGCTACCTTACCTTCTAAAAACTGTAAGCCCAGTTTCACTTTGATCCAGTATTAGTAGGGTTCCACAGCCTAAAGAGAAAAAAAAATCCAGATCATGCTGTTGGACCTGCCTTATGGTTTGTGTCTAGATGTACCCCGCAAAGCCTCTCGCAGTCAGGGTGGGGATTTTTCAGAGGTAGCTGAATCTAGAGTGTGTGACTGATTCATGCTGCAATGCTAGGATTAAAGGTGCTAAGATTAACAATGGGTGATTACTAAATCAGTCCAATTGGTTTGGCACTGCCCTAATCCCGATAGCCTGGATACAATACAAGGGACAGAAAGAGGCTTATTTTGTCCCTTGCTTGCTTTGCCACCTTCTGCCCACCATGAACTGTTTTTTTTCTGTGATGCCTGTGTGCCATGCCACCCTACCCAGGAGCCAGCCAATTATGGACTGAAAACTCTGCAACCTGTGACCTAAATAAACCTTTCCTCCTTTAACTTTGGGTGTCGGGTATTTTGCCTTAGTAACAAGAAAAGTAAGCCAGGAACATCTAAGACCAAAGAAGTACAGTGTCAAGCTCTGAGTACCTGATTTTACTACCACAAATTTCCCCCTCAAGTTACTGGGATTGTGTACACCAAAGGGTCAGAACTGTGCTGTTTGTTTTTCATAGTGTGCCTCGAGGATTAAATATTCAATCTACCATCTTACCTTTGACTGGAATCAGAGCTGATTCCAGCTCTGACACAGCTCTAACAGAGGAGAAATGCCCATGTGCCTGTCGATCAGCCATGGTGCCGGGCATGCAAACCTGCCAAGCTGGTGTTATCTCCCTACTGACGGATGATGTATCTCAGTATCTCCACACTGGGATCCTTCTACTAAATCACTCTGCCTTGGCAGTAAGTGTAAAATACACCCAACATGGAATTTTAAAACGAAGTATAAATGTGGAAATACCAAATACTTGGTGATAAAGTATTGAAAGCCGTATTAATATCTTGTCTAATATGAATTATTTTACTACACAACTAATGCCCTTTAAAAGATATACTTATCGTTATAGAGATCAAGGGAGGAGTTACTTAAACATGACTGGTTCGTTTTTCAAATACTACCTCCTTTTAAGTCGTTGTTGCAAAAAAAAAAATGTTACAGATTTATGAGTTTTCAATTAACTGGTGGGCAGACTGTAAATATGAATGTACCACCAGTAAGTAATGGTGATGGTAAAGTATTTCTGAGTTTTAGAAATCACATTTTTTTCTACTGTAGGATTTAAGAAAGAAAAAAATACCATGGATCGCTGACATTATGTAACGACTCGCTGCACTACTCCAGTGTGCAAACAATAGCTGGGACTTGAATTGTGTAACTAATTGCTAGGACGTGAATTAAAAGAAAGCAAAATCGAGAATGGGCCCGCGCCTTTCTAGCTAGTCCACGGCCAGATACAATTAGCTTATGCCTCTAACCTCTGCTTTCAGTGCGATATGTTCGTACGACCAGTCTCCCAGGTGAGCGTATTTATGATGCAATGCAAACATATAGTCATAACAACTTCTCAAAACCAATTGCTTTCAAATGTATACATTCCCCTAGGGACAAAAGGCGAGGACGTATCTTGGTAACATCTCATCAGGGCACTGGCCGGGAAACTACCCGAACGTTAGGCGTGCACGCGTGTCGGTCCGCACCCGAGACAATGCGGCCTTCAGGAACAAGGACCTGGATGCTAAGCCTCTTTTCTCTAACTGGTAAGGAATCAGATCCCGGGCTCGGACCAACTCTCCGGCGTCACGCGCGCAGGGGACCAAAGCCCCCACCTCCAGCACCTCCCCCGGCATCCGCCGGAGGCCCCGCCCACCCGCGGCGGCCCGCCCACTCGACGGCGCGTTGCCGCGATCCCCCGCCCAGGCGGCGCGACCCGGCCTCACCCGCGATGCCGTAGTGCTGCGCGGCGGCGCAGGCCAGGCGGCCAGGCAGGTATGGGGAGAACTCTGCCGCGTAGCCGTGGCGGCCCGGCACCCGCAACGTCCGCGCAGCGCTCATTCTCCCTGCCGCGTCCAGCCTCACGGCCCTGGCTACAAAAATTGTCCGAGTAGGAAGCGGACGGTGGCGACTAGCTGACAAAAGTTAAGAGGTCCCGAAAGAGCAAACGGAAGTGAGAACGCCCATGTCCTGAAACGAGGAGTCGGATTGGTCCGCAGCGGAAAGGGCGTTGACGCCAATGGAGACCATTTTTGTTTTGGGCAAAGCAAAACTGACTTCCGCCGGCCGGTTGAAGTGATCTACGGTTAGATTAACTGGGCAGTGAGCTGGGGTTAGGGGCTAATTTAGAAAATTTTTGGTGTTGCATCTCAGCCCCTTCTGCAGGGCAAACTGGTTTTCATTAGTTATTTTAACTTGTGAAAGAACTGGGGGCGCTCTACAACTGAGCTACTTCCTCAGGCCTTTTTTGTTTATTTTGAAACTAGGTTACCCAGGCCGGGCTCAAAATTGAGATCCTCCTGCTTCAGTCTTCAGATTACAGGCATCTGCCACCTCGCCCAGCACTGTAATATATGTGTATAGCCAGTAATAAGTACTCAGATCCTAGCACTAATTAGGGGCTCTTTTTTTTTCAGTACTGGGAATTAAACTCTGGGCCTCACGCATACTAGGCAAGCACTCTACCACTGAACTACATTCTCAACCTTTAATTCACTCTTTCAAACATTTGTGGAGCATGGAGGATACCATATAATTTATCTTCCAAGTAAACACTGTAAAAGATAGTGTAGTTAGTAATTAAGGCAGGTTAACAGGCACAAAACCAAGTCTTGTGATCTACTTTGCAAGCCAAGAACAGTGCAAACCTCTTGAAATTTAAAAGCAGTAAGATATTGTCCAGATCCTCAGGATACTAAAGTCTTGTAAAGAGAAGATATGTAAACAGTAAAAGCTAATCAAAATACTGTAGGTGCTAAGAAAAGTATAGGATGTTTAAAAAAGGAAATGGTCAATGCTACCGTTGGGGATGGTAGGAAAGCCTTCCAAAAAAAAGGTGGTCTTTATGGTGAGTGCATACAGATAAATAGATTTTATTTAAACAAAGAGCTAGAAGTTATTGTGGGAGCAAGAGTAACATGAGCAACTCAACCCTAAACCAGCATGATCCACAGGGCATCACCACTGCCAGGACTCAGCACAACCAGATAGAGGAAGTGTGAAGAAGAGAATTTTAGGGGCAGAGAGTTGACCTGTACTGCAGCTGGGATTGTTGAGAGTTGTATGCTATCCCAAAGAGATTGGACTCCTACTCTAATTGATATGCCTTCAGATTAGAGATTAGAGATGGCTTAAAGGTGTTAGATATAGTTCAAGGAAAAGATGATTAGAACTTGAAAAAAGATTCTGTGTTCAAGAATTATAGCAATGAAAGTGGAAAGTAAGACTCAGATCTGATTTTTAACACAATAACTCATAATACAAGGTATGCAAGGAAGAGGGAGGAATCTAAATGATTCTTAGATTTCTAACTTAGAAGCCTGCATAGATGGAGGAACTGTTGGAAGGAGGAGCAAGTCTGAGACTCTTAGATCTTCCAGTTTAGGCCAGAGTTTGTGACTGCCTTCAGTCAGAAAGAGAGTAAGGTGAAAAGGAAAGAGAGCCAAAGATAGAACTGTGGAGGTAATGTCAGTATGCAAGGCCTGCCAAGCAAGAGAAGCTAAGAAAATGGAGAGACCTAAAAGGTGGATCTTACCGATTCATTTATTAGTCTGTTTAAGAACAGCTCAAGTTGGGAGGATTTGTACACATACGATGAATGCTTAGATGGACAGGTTTGTGGATGGATCCTTCTGAGGCAAAAGACTCAACAAAAGTTTTTAAGACTATAAAAACATATAGTGCCTACTGTCTATTACATTGCTTGATACAAAGTAGAATGGTTTTTGTTTTTTGTTTTTCTTCTGGTACCAGGAATACGAACTCATGACCTTGCACTTGCCAGGCAGGTGCTGTGCCGCTGAGCTAAATCCCCAGCCCCCAAAGTAGAATGTGTTGGTCAGGTTTTCTATTGCTGGTATAAAATGTAGGACACCTGCAAACAATTTAAAGGAGGAAAAGTTTAATTTGGCTCATGGCTTCAAAGGGTTCAGTTCATGATCAGCTGGATTTAAAGCAGAACTGTTGCATGGGAAAACCGTGGTACAGCAAAACTGCTCACTTCATGGCAGCTAGGAAGCAGAATAGATTGGAAAGAGCACCAGAAAAGAAAGACCTAGAAAGTAGAATAGTCCCTAAATTCATGCCTCTGTGACACACATAGACACACCCTAAAGTTTGCTTTACTAATCTGGTAGGCATCTCAATCTAGTCAGGTTGACAATCATTATTAACAGTTGCATAGACAAACCAAAAAAAAAAAAAAAAAAAAAAACCCATAGCAACTGTTAACTGGGCATGGTGGCACATGCTTGTAATCCCAGCATTCTGGGAAGTTGAGGTAGGAGGATCGCAAGTTTAAGGCCAGCCTGGGCATCTTAGTGACTTAGCAATACTCTGTCTCAGAATAGAAAAAGCTATAGTTGTAGCTCAGTGGTAAAACATTTGCCTAGCCATGTATGAAGCCCTGAGTTCAATTCCCAGTACTAAAGAGAGAGGCACAAAGGTCCAATCATAACTATGATAGAAGACAAAGTTTTGCTAGCACAAAAAAAAAAAAAAAAAAGATTTTACTGTATTTTCTCCAAGCAAGCTTAAATATCCATCACGCAGAGCTATTAGAAAATCCAACCTCACCTTGTTGGGGGCTTCCTGTTGTTCATGAGGGCCACATTAGAATCTGATACTAAAGACTCCTAAAGACAGAATCAGAATTTTGTTCTCTCTCCAGAGCCTCACAGTGTCGGGCAAATGGAAGAGCATTTTCTAGTCTTCAGTTAGCTCCATGTGCAAGTCTGAATGGTCATGTGAATGTGCATTTCTTTACCACATTTTGCTCCAGACAGAGTTAAAGCTTCCGTGAAGAAATAGGCTGCCACTTGTTTCTGGGCTTCATGAAACCCTTCCCGCACATGCTTTGATGCTCTTCTCCATGCTTTGAGCTATTCACTCTCAACCTCTTCCTAACCATGGCCGTCACATGATCATCTCTTGCTTCTCTGTCCCCAAGGACATGTCAACTTCAGTGGTTGAGTTTAGGCTTTCACCAAAGGTTCTCAGCAGCTTCTGTGCCAGTTGGAAAAGGCTCACAAAGTGGCCAGGGATCACAAAGAGCCTGCATACCTAATTGGAATGGAGAAAGGGCAAACAAAACTACAGCAAAACACAAATTACTCTCAACATACAATGACATCAACTGATCATTAATTTATAACAGCTGACAGTAATTACAGCCTTGTAGAGGTGGACAGCCTGGGCATATGCACCCCTCACCTCCAAACCACACAAGCCCCAAATTCTTACTCTTTCATGAACCTGAAATAGGATATAGATGCCTCATTACCTAGGCAACATTCCTCATATTTCAGATCCCCACCTCACATCCATTGCCCTTTTTCTGTTTTTTGAGACAGGGTCTCATTAAGTTGCTAAGTTGCCCAAGCTGTAATCAACTTTGAAATCCACCTGCCTCAGCCTCCCAGAGTGCTGGGATTACAGGCATGTGCCACTATGCTCTTCTGGGTGGTTCTTAAGTGCTGGCTAACGTACAGATAGAGAAGTGCCGAGCCATGGCAGGGATTTGTACAATAAAAGCTGAAGGCACAAGAGGCTTCAAGGCAAAATAAGCAGAATTTTTCCCCAGTGCTAGAGACTAAAGCCACCCTCACATACCATAGGCAAATGCTGTGTCATTGAGCTACTTCCTCCTGCAGCCAGAGGAATCCACCATACTGTGTCACTCACTGGCAATATCATGATGGGTACAACCACCAGAACCAGGAGGCTCTTGTCCAGTTCTTAACACCAACTTGATAAATGAAGGCTGGAAATTGGATTTCCAATTGTAATTGTTATAGTTTGCATTTAGATGACCCTCTAAAGTGTCATGGAGTCAAAGGCAAAGCTTTTTCAGAGGTTGAATCTAGATTGTCTGATTGATTCAGGGTGCAATGCTAGGATTAAGGGTGCTGGGATTAAGGGTGGGTGATTACTAAATTAGTCCACTCATTGGTTTGGCACCACCCTGATCCTGGTATCCTGGATACAGTGTAAGGGACAGAAAGAGGCTCGTCTTCTCCCTTCCCTGCTGCTTTTGCTGCCTTCTGCTTGCCATGAACTGGTTCTCTTCTGTGTTGCCCTCTGCCATGCCACCCTGCCTTGGAGCCAGGCAATTGTGGACTGAAAACCTCTACAAACTGTCAGCTAAATAGACCTTTCGTCCTTTAACTTTGGGTGTCAGGTATTTTGTCTCAGCAACAGGAGGAAAGGAACTAACACAGTAATAGAATCCATTTTATTGGCTTATAAAATATACAAGATGTACTACTTCAACCATCCTAGACGTTTATCTTCAAGGAGGACATTTTGTATGTTTATTTTGGGACCTTTGTGTGTATATATACCTGAGGTCCCAATGCATGTGATGCCACTCCTCTCACATTCTCTATGTGCTCTGTTTTCAGAGGTGACATGAGATGGCTTATGAGCTCCTGAACCAGTGTCAACAGGAAGACTGCAGTCATTCAGTTCTGTAGACACTAGTGAGTTCCAGTCAGCATAGACCACATCACCCTGACAGAGAAAGGCAGAGCTGGAGCACTCATGTTCTTTGAACTCACAGCAATGGGGAGGAGCATAGAGTCCTGTAGCTCCACCACCATGAGTTCCTGCACCTGCAAATGAAAAGGAAGTGACCCTCACTCTGTCCTTCTCGGCAGAGCCACAGCACATGGAGTGCAGGGGAAGGATCCACCTCCCCTGCCCGGAGGTGTGGCCATTTTGATTAACGTTTCCATCACAAT